TTCTAGCTCTAAATCTAAGATCCACTAAAGCTCCAAAAATCTGATCCCAACTTCAATATCACCTAAATCTCTTCTCTGTCCACCCTTGTTCTGCATGCTGTTCTCTGTTCTTCATCTCTGCTCTGGCTTCCCTTCTCTCATTTCAGCCTGGATCCTACAGTTGACTTATGCAATCATAACTATCTTTGAGTCCTTTGACCTTGTCCTGTCCTCCATCATACCTTGCCAAACTCCAACCCTGGGTTATATTCATGCCCTCTTTATCCCTACTCTAGGGATAAAGCTATTCATCCATGCCAAATGACTTCACCTCAATTTATGTTCTCTTACCTCAACTGGACCATCACTGGTGTACAATAATCTTTTTATTTTTCCCTTATTGCTCCTATCACACTTTTAATAGATATTATACCAAACCTTCTCCTCTGTTCTCAGACGTCCTATAATACTCTCCTTCTTCTATCCTCCCTCTCAGTAAAGGAACCTCACCTCACACTTTACTTTAAAAAACAGGCTATTGATCTCAAACTCTTTTCTTCTACTCTACACTTCAAAAACCTCTTAATCATCATTCCCCTTCTCCCCTGTCTCTTCCTTTACTCTAGTCTCTGATAAAGAGGTAGCCCTTCTCCCTTGCCAAAGCCACCTCATAAACTTGCCATCTTAATTTCAACCCCTCTCATCTCCTTAAGAAGCTTGATCCCTCAACTGTAACTCTTCTCTCACCTTCTGTCTTTCATTTTATATGGGTTCCTTTCCCATTTCCTAAAATTCTTCCTCAGTCTCCCTTCTCCTAAAAAAAATCTCACTTAACCCTACTATTCCCTCAAGTTATCACCCTATATCTCCTCTCCTTTTCATAGCCAAGGTTCTAGAAAGGGTCTCTCTCTAAAGACCTCCATTTCCTCACCCCACTCACTTCCAATCCCTGGTTTCTGAACCTAGAACTTGCCTAAAACTGCTCTCTCCAAGGTTGCCAACAATCTCTTAGCTGTTCATTCCAATGGCCTTTTCTCAGTCCTCATCTTTCTTGATCTGTATGTATTCCTTATTCCTGTACATTCTCCTACCTTAGCTTCTGTGATATTTCTCTCTCTCTCTCTCTCTCTCTCTCTCTCTCTCTCTCTCCTCTCTCTCTCTCTCTCTCTCTCTCTCTCTCTCTCTCTTTCTCTCTCCCTTTCCTTCTACCTATCTGACTCCTCCTCAGTTTCTTTGCCTAGCTAATCAATATCCCCCAAGGCTCTTTCCTGGGCCTTCTTCTTTTCTTTCCCTATAATCTCCTCCTTGATGATTTCATTAGTTCCCATGAGTTCACTTATCATTTCTATGCAGATGACTATTAAAACTATATATCCAACCTTAATCTTTTTTCCTCCCTTAAACTCCATTGGAATATTACCAAATGCCTGCCATATATTTCTACCTAGATACATCATTGGCATTTCAAATTCAACATGTTCAAAACAGAACTTGTTACATTTTTGCCCAATTTCATTTTCTAAATTTCTGTCTATGACACCAATATTTTAGCCGTTATCCAACTCTGGAATCATCCTTGACTCTTCTTTCTCCATCTACTCTCACATACACTAAGTTGTCAAGTCTTGTTTATCCTAGCTTCACATTATTTCACATATCCATCCTCTTCTTTGCACTCAACCAAACTGTAAGCATTTATTAAGCACCTTCTATGTGCTGCCTACTGTGATAGAGGTGAGGGATGCCAATACAATAAATAAAACAATACCCATTCACAAGGGGCATAGATCCTAATCGTGGCATCAACAAATACAAATATAAGAATATCCAGAATAAATACAAAGTAATTAAATGCAAGGTAAATTGAGAGAAAAGGCATTAGCAGTTGAGGGGATCAGAAAAGGCTTCATATAGAAAGTAGTGCTTAATCTATATCTTTTTTTTTTAAAGACAATCAGGGTTAAGTGACTTGCCCAAAGTCACACAGCTAGTAAGTGTCTGAGGTCAGATTTGAACACAGGTCCTCCTGACCTCAGAGACAGTGCGCTTAAGCTACATCTTGAAGGAAGAGAGGGATTCTACGAGGCTGAGGTGAAGCAGTACATCCTGAGCTTAGAAGATAATCAGTGGAAAGAAAAAGACAAGAGATAATGTTGTGTGTAAATAACAGAGAGATGACCAATTTAGCTTTATTGCAGAGTGAGGAGTAAGGATACTGCATGATGATAGTGGAAAGATAGGTATACCACAAGGTTGTGAAGAGTTCTGAAAGCTAAACAGAGGAGTCTATGAATGAATGAAAAACTTTTATTACATGCTTCCTCTGTGTCATGTACTATGCTAAGCACTAGGAATATAACTAGATAAAGTAGAGAGCCCCTGCACTCAAGGAGGTCACGGAGTAATTGGGAGGGAAAACACATGTAGGAGAGTTCAGATAGAAGGGCCCAGAGGTGCCAAGGATATAACCCAGAAGTTCACAGCATATATCAAGGTGTCAGACTCACAGAAGCATCCCACCACTATTGGGAAGGGGATAGTAGATTTTGGGGTAACAGTGGAGTGAAGATTCTGGGTTTTCTTTAGCACAGAGTAAAGATAGAGATTCAGAGTCCATTCGAAAGGGGAAAAGGGGAAGGGGCCTTGGCAGGAAGACTGTATTAGAAATAATTGGAAGCCATTCCAGTTGTAGGGGGATGACATGGTCAGATCTATGCTTAAGGAAGCAGCATGGGAAACAGAATAAAATGGAGAGACATTTGAGGTAGGGCAACCAATTAGGAGGCTGTTACAATATTTAATCAAGGGGTGTTGAGAACTTGAACTAACTGAGGTCTTGTGAGTAGAGACAAAGGGTTAGATGGGAAAGATGTGATGGTAGAAACAACAACATTTGACAACTGAATGAATATACCAGTTGAGGAAGAATGAGGAATAGAGGATAATACCTAAGTTATGAATCTGGGAGACTAGAAGAATGGTGGCATTTTAGGTAGAAGTTGGAAGAGATTTAGTTATGAGGGAAAGATGGGCTCTGTTTTAGACATGTTGAATTTGAGATGTCTCTGGTACATCCAGTTCTAAATTCCCAATAGGCAACTGGTGGTGCAGGATGAAGATCAAGGGAAATACTGGGGAATCTGGCAGTCATCAGTATAAAGAAGGTAATCAAACCCACAGAAGCCAATAAAGTCACCAAGAGGCAGAATGGAGAGTGAGAAGGCCTAGGACAGGGTCTTGAAGAACATGATTTGGATGATGAACTGGCAAAGGAAACTGAGAAGGAATAGTTCTAGGAAGAGATAGGTAAAAGGAGATATGAGAGAAAATCATGTTAGAGAAGTCCAGAAATGAGAGAATATCTAGGAGATAGTGGTCAGTATGGACAAATGGAGCAAAAAGGTCTAGAAGTATAAGGAATTTAAAAAGACCGTCATATTTAGCAATTAGGAGATCTTTGAAGAAACTTTGAAAACTTTGAAAAAAGCAACTTCAGTCAAGTGAGAAGCCAAATTGCACTGAGTTGAGGGAAGAAAGTAAGTGTGAACAGCATTTTCTAGGTGTTTGCTGAGAAAGAGGAGAAACATAAGTTGATGGGTTGAGTGGATGGTAAGATCTAGTGAAGGATTTTTAAAGTTCGGGGGAGACTGGGCATGTTTGAAGGAAGTGGGAAGAGGTTGAAGATTGAAGAGATAGGGAAGATGAGTGAGGTTGCAATCTTCTGGAGAAGTTGCAAGGAGAAGAGATCAAAGGTCTATCTTAAATATCTCTTCTAGTTTAGGCTTTCATTACTTCTTGTCTCCTTATCAGTCTCTATGCCTCCAATCTTCTCTTCTCCAATCCATTCTCTCTACAGCTGTCAAATTAATATTATTCCTAAAACACAAATCATATCATGGCTTCACTCACTCATTTGAAAATTTTCAAAAGCTCACTATCACCTGTAGGAAAAAAAATATTAACTCTTCTGTTTGGCACATAAAACCTTGCATAATTTTTTTCCCAATTACCTTCCACTTTTATTTCATGCTATGTACACACTGTATATGCTAAGCAAATTGTTCTGCTCGATGTTACCCATAAATAACATTCTATTTCCCACCTCCATGTCTTTGTACTAGTAATTCCCCAGGTCTGGAATGCATTCTCTCCTTACCTCCAACTTGTTAGAATCTCTACTTTCCTTCAAAGCACAACTCAGGTGCCACCTTACTCAAAGCCTTGTCCTGTGCCACTTCTTCCAACTTATTAACATTCTCTCCTTACTGCTTTAGACTTATATTTTATGACTTTGTATTTACTTATTTGTGTATATTTTTTATCCCATCAGTAGTGAATAGGGACCACTTCATTTTGTTTTTATATCCCCAGCACTTAGAACAGTGCCTTGCGTACAGAGCAATGTGGCAAATATTTGTTGAAGTGATTTGCTAAGTTGATCATTATGACTGATGGGCTATAAGATAGCAAGATTTTAAAATCATTGGTCCAACTAGCTCACATGAGTGAGTCAAGAATGAATATGACTTTGACAGCTATAGACCAGTGTAGTATTTCTTCACAAAACTTGGAATAATAATAGCTTATGTTTCTATTACCCTTTGCCATTACACAATACTTTCATTCATTTTATCTCACTCTATCTTCAAAAGATAGAAGTGGTAGGGAGGACAAAGTATTACAGATGAAGGAAACAGGACCAAAAAGTTTTGGTGACTTGCTCAAGGTCAATCCATAAACGACAGAACTTGTAGGCAAAAATATGATGTCTTGACACCAAATGTAATGCTCTCTCTACTCCACCATCTGTGTATTGGACAACAGTGATCAATTGTGGATGTCTACTATATCTGTATGGCTATATCAGCAAGATTGCACAGATATGTTAACTAATTTTTTGTTCCCAGAAGTCATGTTTATAGTGAACTATAAGAGAACAATTTGACTATCTATAAACAATAGGTTACCATTTAAACATAAAAAGAGTTGGGTTAGGGAGCACAGGAGGATGAAATACTTACTTGGTCCAAGACCTATGGAAAAAGCAGCAACATAAAAAAGTAAGCTGACCAAGGAGAGCCATTTCAAATACTCTGGGACTTCGTCTGGGCCCATTTCCTGATGCTGTGTTGGGCTTGGTCTAGAGGTTCCAACACTTGGCACAGATGCCCAGGTCAGCTCCCCTTGCCTTTCACTGTCACTTCTGATGGACATTAGTGAGCTCTTGCTGTTTGGAGTAATCCCCATGAGCAGTTCTTTGAGACTATTGTTGCTAACTGGCAACTTTCCTTGTTCATAAAAAGTCAAGTCTTCTAGGGAGTGGTTGATAGGATTATGACTTCTGCAGATACTGGTAGAATTGATATGGATCTTAAGATTCAAAAGACCCATAGTGACCAAGGAGGCTGCCATCACTGAGTGCCAAGGCACAGAAAAGTCTTGCTCCCAACCTGGTCCACAAAAAGGGTAGCTGGAATAGTGCTGATTACTTTGACAACTCCAACTCCAGTGGAGGCAAGGCTGGCTGCTTCATTGCTCTGAAACCCAACAGATTTTAAGACAGTTGATGCATAAAATAAAATGTTTGGTTGTCCTGTGATTTGCACAAAAAAAACCAATGTGAGGCCTATTAGTATTCTGGTCCTCATGTTGTCCTTTGACCGAAAAAGATCCCAGAAACTGTATTGGTGTTCATCTTTCAAGGAAGATTTTATTGCAGTAAGTTCTTCAGTAGTATCTGAGATGACTCTTAATCTTCCTAGAACTTTGCTAGCAGCTTCATCATACCCTTTCATCACTAAGAATCGAGGGCTGGGTGGAAGAAAGTACATTGCAATGGCCTGCAAAACTCCCAGTGGAATAACAAGACCAAACATGTACCTCCAACCATGGAAAACATTGGCAAATGCGTAATTTGAAATATAGGCAAGGAGAATGCCAATTACAATCATAAGTTCATTCAATGATACAAGAAGTCCTCTTCTGTGCTGTGGAGCAATCTCTGCGATATAGACACAGGTGGCAATGGAAGACAGGGATATGGAAACTCCTATGGTAATTCGTCCTACAATAAGAACTGGATAGGAGAAACTCAGGATCAGAACCAAGCTGCCCAACCCAAGTAAGCAGGATGACAAAATGATAGCAATTCTTCTCCCATATCTGTCTATCAGGAATCCTCCTGTGAGAGATGCCAGGAAGGCCCCAATGAGTAGAGAACTCACAACCATTTCCTGCTGTCGGCAAGACAAGGCTAATAAGCCGCTTAATTGCAGAAGGGCCCCAGAGATGAGCCCAAGTTCATAACCCACCAGGAGTCCACTGACAGCGGCAGTGACAGATGTGAGGAAAGTAAACATTCCACATCCTACAAACAAAGAGAAAAAACAGAGATGTCAGTCCCAAATTATTATTTTAACATTCTATGTATGAACTGGGACATAACCTTGGGCAAATGATTTTATACCACTGAGCTAGGATGAAAAGACCAAATACCAAACTCAGCATCATTGTAGGAAAAGCAGAGGTCATTGGCTATAGAAACAAAGACTTCCTTCCCCCACTTTTTTTGGGGGGGAGTGGGGAGGGAGAGTGTAGGGAAAACTTTTCCCCTAAATTTGTTAAATCATAAGTAGATGACTATGCAGATTAATGTTCTCTATGAGCAAACAACTGTGAAGACTCTATATAGGGGCAGAATTTGGTTAGGGATTAGGAAGCAGTCAACTATTCTGTTAACCTAGCTCATCCTATCCTAATCCAGCTCCCAAGAGGAGAACTTTTGGACAGGAATAGGATTGAAGACAGCTTCCTATGCATTGGGTCCCAAAGAAGGGCCTTGGCTTCTCCTTTCCTAGTAGCCTGGAAAAGAAGAAATCCTGAGTTAAGATCACCTAGGAAGTCGCTACCTAGTTCTTAACATAGTTTTCAACCTTTTTGATGTAACAATGGTATGAACGACAAATTAATCACTTACTCTGTGCGGACTATCGTGGCAGGAAACAGGGATAATACCAAGGTTAGCTAAGACTTGGTCCTTGTCTTCAAGAAGCTTACATTTAATAGGATGGTATGGACACCAACCCAAATAGTTATAATTACATGGTAAGTGCATCCCACAGGTTTTTATGTGAAGTACCTAAGAAGGGGTTGTTATTGACTAAGAAGATCAGGCAAGGACTTGCTAGAAGAAGTAGCATTTGAGGTAGGTTTTAAAGAGTAGCAGGGGTGTCATTACAGGCATAGAAGAAAGCAAAAGGCATGGAGATCCCAAAGGCTATTTGTCCTAACCCCCTCATTTTACAGATGAGGAAACTGAAGCTCAGTTAGGTTAGGTGATTTGTGTACAATCACTTAGAGAGTATGTATCAGAAGCAGGACTTTACTGCAGGTCCTCTGACTCTAGGTGGCACAGTGCATAGAGTGCCAGGCCTGGAGTCAGGAAAATCTGAGTTCAAATCTGGCCTCAGACACTAATTAGCTGTGTGACCCTGAGCAAGTCACTTAACTCTGTTTGCCTTAATTCCTCATCTGTGAATTGAGAAGGAAGTGGCACACCACTCCAGTATCTTTGCTAATGGGGTCACAAAGAGTCAGAAATGACTGAAACAAATTAAAAACAACAACAGTCACTGTCTAGAGACAATGCCTTTTCACTGCACCACACTGCTGCATTGAGAATAGAATCTTTAATTAGGCACCAATAAACACCTGCAGCCATAACAAAATAAAATGGACAGGATTGTTGTTTTCTTTTGAAAAGAAGAAAGTTATGATGGGGATGGGGCCCAAGCCAAGATCTTTGCCCCTTGAACCCAAAGGGAATCTGACTCCCATTTGTCTACAGGCCCCAGACACTCATCTCCCTTTGAAAGCCTTAGCTTACCTTTTAATCTTATTCAGATGCACCTTTGCCCTAGAAGAATCTGGCTCCATTTTGTCTGATTCCCAGAAAGGCCTTGCTCTGGTCTCAAATGGTTCCTTATCAACTCCCCTTATCTCCCTTTGAAAGTCCTAGCCCCACCCGTTGATCTTGTGCTGATGCCTTTCAAACTTCTGCCTTCCTGTTCCCTCCATTAGCTATTCCCATTGTCTATTCAATCTCTCAGACCTTCCAATTGGAATTCTCACCTAGACCCTTTTCCCAGCCCCCCCTTCTCTGGCCACCCAAAGTTACTTCAGTGTATAAAAATTCCACCCTGGCTCCCATTCAGACGCTGAGAATCTCAGGCTCAAAAGGCTGAGACTTTCTCATACCCACTCATCTTTACAGGTGTCACCTGGCCTATGCGATTTATCACTAGTAAACTTTTCCTCAGGCTGAAGAATATTTGAGTTAAATTCATTCAGCAGGGCCCAGTACCGTGACCTTAGGGTGTCCCCCAGCAGCACCCCCAAAGTCCAAGACCTCTTCAGTTATACCTTGACGGTGCTAGTAGTGGTAGAAGAAGGTTTTGCTGCCACCACTAGTTCCAGAGCTGGGAAAAGGTCAGATTCCAGATCATGCCTCTCCTAGCTATCCTCTCCCCACAAGAAGACCCTCTTCAACCCCTTTCTAATCACATCAATTTTGTTCTGTTTGATTGGGTGGCTGAGGAACACATTATTGTTGTTTTTTCTGAAGATTCCTCACAATTCTTTTATTATGTGTTATAAGTCAATGAGACAATGCCTCTGAAGTACGGAAAATAAGAATCACACAGATGGCATTGGAAAGGCACATGATAGGGGAAGCAGGTGCATATAACAATTTTTGTACTCCACAAAAATAGGAGTAACAGAAGTCAACAAGAAACTTAATTGTAGGAAGAGAAGATGGACTGTTTATTTGGCAAGAATGAGGGATAAGTGGACTGCCAGAGTGTTTCACTGGTACCATCGGTGTTAGGAAAAAAATAAAGAAGTCTTCCTTTGGATTGAGTGGACCCCTTTAATAGCAAGCTTGTAGGAGAGTATAAGAGTCACATGGGATGAACAGGCATGATGGGCTACAATTTGCATTGCTGGAGGTAGCTCTGGAATTACTAAGATCAAATATCCATTTGAGTATTATCATGTGCTAGGCACTGGGCCAAGCCTTAGGGATTTAAGAATAAAAAATGACGTGTCATGCTTCCAAGGAACTTGTCATCCAAAAGGTGAACATGACAAGTATAGAAATAAGTATGACCCTGGGCAAGTCACTGAACCCTGTTTGCCTCGGCTTCCTCATCTGTAAAATGAGCTAGAGATAGAAATGGAAAACCACTTTGGCAGTATCTCTGCCAAAGAAAACCCCAAATGGTGTCACAAAGAATCAGATGTGACTAATCAACAACAAAAAAAAGAGAAAAAAAATTGACAGAAAGCTGTCTCCTAAACTCTATTTATTAGTTCTAATTCTTCGTTTTGGAGTTATAGATATGAAGTCTAATTCCTCTTCTAGATAACAATGATAACTACCATTTGTAAAGTACTTTAATGTCTACTTTAATAAATATTACCTTATTTTATCCTCACAACTACCCTGGGAGGTAGGTACTATTATAATTCCCATTTTAGAGGTGGAGAAATTGAGGCAAACAGAGATTAAGTGAATTACCTTGGGTCACACAGGTGGCAAGTACTTGAAACAGAATTTGAATTCAGGTCTTCCTCTCTGCAGGTCCAGCTACTCTGTCTACTGCACCATTTAGCTTTTCATTCATCAATTTGGGTGGTAGTGGTATAGGTATAGAGGGAAAGTATGAGATTGTCAAATACTGCATCTTATACTTACTGTGAAGATATAACCATGGGAAAATAATTTGATTTTTCTGAGTCTCAGTTTTTTCACATTGCACAGTGTTGTGAGGATCAAATGAGATAATGTATATAGGGTATCTTAAAAGTTTTAATATGATTTTAGGCATTAATAGCCTAAAATAATTGTGGGAGTTTTGTGAGTCATAATGACCCACATTGTGGATTATAAAGTGTTCTGTAGACCTAGAACTTCTGTAGAAATACCATCTGCTCTTATTTCCCTGCTCACAAATCCTTTCCTTTTCCAAGATAATTTTTTTTAATTCCTTTAACCATTTCTTATAGATACCCTCTCTGAACTCTTTTCCAGCTTATCAATGTCTCTCTTAAAATGTGATATCAGAACTGAAAACAATGACACACCTTATGGATAATGACATTTCAGCACTCTTTCTGATGTCTTCCAGGGATAAAAGACTATTAAATTCATAATAAAAAATAAACAAACAAAAATTGAATGACATGTCAGACTTGTTCTTGCCCCATTCTCTTTTAATGAGTCACTGGCTATAGATATAAACTTTATCTTACTACCTTTAGCCCCATCAGTCTTTTCAAGTCGCATCTTACTACCTTTAGCCCCATCAATCTCTTTCAAGTCGCATTGACCGATCAAGGTTCCACATTTTTGTTTTAGTATAAAGGTTATATAACTTCAGAAATCTTGAAAACCCCTGTAGCCAGCCATTCTGTGACCTCATTCCACCCTGATCCTCCATCCCACCTATCCAGAAGCTGACATGGTGTAAAACAACTGGACTACAGAATCCAGCAATTTCTTTGGCTGCATTTTTATTGCCTCATATGTCGGTAGAGTATGCAGCTGCCTACAATGCGTGCCATGATTTGAATGATGTCAGGAAGTCTTGCCCACTTATTTATTTATTTGTTTGCTTATTAATTTACTTGTTTGTTATTCATTCATTTATGTATTTATTGATTTGTATATTTGTTTAGACTTCTCCATGGGTTTTTTCAAGGTGCCTGGAAACCCTCAATTCATTTTGGTCATCTCTGGCAGGATTCAACAGGTGACCATATAATGTAGATATAGAGCTATAAAGAACCTCAGAGATTAAATCAAACTCCCTTATTTTACAGATGAGAAAACAAAGAACTAGAGAAGTTAAATGACTTGTCCATGGTCACACAGACCACAAGCATCAGAGACAAAACTTTGAACTGAGGTCTCCTGACTCCAGAGGCAACAAGGTGGCCCAATGGATAGAGCACCGGGCCTGCAGTCAAGAAGACCTGAGTTCATTTTTTCATTTTTATTTTTAGTCCCACATTCTCTCCCTCCCTCTACCCCTCCTCCACCCACTGAGAAGGCAAGAAATATGATACTTATGGTTCACATGAAGCCATGCAAAACATATTTCCACATTAGTCATGTTGTAGGGATAAAAAAGAAGCAAGAAAAATAAATAGAGAAAAAATATGTTTTGGTCTGTACTCAGGGTCCATAAATTCTCTCTCTGGAAGTAGATAGCGTTTTTCATCATGAGCCCACTAGCTGTGTGATCCTGGGCAAATCATTTGGCCTCTCTATGCCTCAGTTTCCTTATCTGTAAAATGGAGATA